TGCGAAGGATTACGGTAAGAGCCGAGCGTGCGACATCAATTGAGAAAATTGAGTACAGTCGTAAGTCTTAAAGGTGGCACAGTAATGCTCACGGATAATCCAAGTAGATGAGAGAGAAGATTTTTCTCCGATTCTTTCAATCTAATCTTTTTTTTTTTTTTTTTTACATTTCTTTCAAATTTCTTTTCGATTTTAACAAAGAAACTCACTTAACAAGAATGATCATTTTTGATTGAATGACATTTGAAATTAATAAGAAAATAATTGTTCTCTTTTTCAGATTGGATTTGGACAAGCTTTGTGGTAATCAATTCGACATAGCAATGCATAGAATTGCATTTGAAATATCTCTAGCATAAAAGAGAAGAGTTCTACCAAGTATTGGGTTCACTTCCAGTCGTACTTCACTTGTGACCCCAATCTTCGAATGAAACTGCCAAAGGACAATCCTCTTTCCCCGAACTTGGAAAGCTACCAGGACTTGGACTACGAAACATTCGCGTTCATTATATTCCATAAGGTTTTTCCTTATCCTATCAATCTTTACACTGTGTATTTCCACACGTTAAGTCGTTATAAGAGGCTGTTATATCATAAGTTACTTGTTAAGTATGTTACATTATTATTATTATTATTATTATTATTATTATTAATATTGTTAATATGATTGTAAGATACGTTAGATTATTTAAAATGTATCGTACCAGTTATGTAATAAACAGTTTTGTCAGAATGATATGAAATATAACTTTCCTTTTTGTTTTTTCTGAATGAAATCGAGTAAATTAATGCTCAATTTAACCACTCCTTACTCGAGTAAAACACGAAGAGAAAAAAAAGTGCAGTAATTAATTTCACTGTTAATTAAATAAATTTTAACGATGACACAAGAAGACCCTATCCTGAACTAATAAAATAAACAATAGAATATACAATTTTCATGAGTAATTCCAAAAGAAGAAGTACTCATGTATGCTCGTCAATAATTTATTAAAATAATTACAACCAGAGTAGCTCGTGCAGATTGGGACCTTTCATCCCCGACATGATTGAGCTCCGGAGGGACTTTAAATTTTAACTCACGATTTAAGAAGTTCTACGATGGCTCCAAAACACTCCTACTTCGTAGGAAGTATTGCAGTCTGACGATCGGGGAGAGTTTCTTGATTTGCTATTAAAAAAGATCCATCGAAGAATTCATTCGACATCTTTGAAAAAAAAAGATAATCCGTGGTCTTATCTTTAAAATAAAATAGAACAAAACGATAAGTTATCTATAATATGATCCAAAATCTTATCAAATAAAGTCAAACAAAATGTTAATAAAAATAAATACTTACAATGCATTTCAATGGGATAAAGCTTAATGGCATCATGGTGATGCATCTCGCGTGAATCTAATAACACGTTATKAACGAAAATAAGAAACTATAGATGAGTTTCTTATCGCGAATCCGAAATTAAATTGTACGGCGAACAACACTGACTCTAATTCGCGTTTTATTTCAATTTGTTACATGTCCGATCACTGACTCTACACAACTAATTCAAAGGCTGCTTTGCATACAGTCAATGCAAGTATAAAAATCTTCATTGATGCACTGACTCTAATACGCGAACAGTCTGCGTGTCTGTTTTTCAATAAAAACACAACTTTGATCGTACAAATTCTACTACAATTACTGCATTGTTCGCAGTCAATTTATAATGAAACATTTCTAACGTAATCACGTAACGTGAACGCATTGAAATTAACGAACGAACGTGCTTCTAATTCGTGATTTTATATTTTATTTAAATGATACAACACTCCCATATATTGCTTCCCGCACGATTGCAATTAATATCTGAAACAGAAATAAAAAACAATATACTATTAACACATCATTATTATAATTGGAAACCATTAAAATTCTTGTGCAATTATTGAATACAAAAATATACTTACTTCGAATCTTCATTGATGAATGCAGGATGGGTATCCTACCTTTAAGATGACGACGAATAAAATAAAATTAAATGAAATATCTGAAAAGCTGAAACATACTAAAGATTATAAAACAAAATTTCCTGTGAATTATTTCTAAAGATTAGGCCTACAAGCAATATTAATTGCTTAAATCTCACTATTTGTATATAACTCTGTATAAAGTATGTAATGTTATTAAAAATATTAATTAAAAATCTATAAAATTGTTTAAATAAAACAATAATTGTATCAGCAAATTCAATAAAGAGTAACCTAAAAAATAAACCGTTTGTTATATCGTTCTATGTAATGAAAAACTTGTTAAAGTATTAAAATTAACACGATAACGTTAGGAATAAAATTATTAAATAGTTTAATGCGTCTTGTTACTTTTACCGATCTTAACTTATCGGAGGACAGAAGAGGAATGAGCATCTCTCTCTCTGTTTACCTTCGAGAGCAACGAATTTCGGTTGCTTTTGTTTTTATCTCATTGTTAGTTCGAGCATTGCTGAGAAACAAAGACGTATTAAACATGTTTATATGCCGAATGTTTTGTATTTTTATTTTCTCTCTCTCTTTCTTTCTGTTTCTCCTTCTTCTCCCTTTTTCACATTCTTGCTTTTTTTCTCACACTCTTTCTATTACACTTCTCTACGTTATAAAGAAAAAGATAGAGTGACCTCGACGAATGTAAAGAAGATAAAAAAGTGAACACAACAATAAGGTTAGTTATGTGCATTCGTAGTGGGCTCTACCAATGCTCGGAAACTTAAAAAAAAGAAAAAAAATAAACTACATTAGTATGATATAAAAAAAATTAAATATATATGAATGTTATGTATGTATGTGTACGAGTTACCCAACTCGTAAAATTTGGCGCATAGTTGACAGATAACGATTTTTATTTGCACGGATATTTGTCGAATTTTTTAATATTTCGTTTTGAAAACACTCACGAATAAACATTTTGTTTGTTGCTATCGTTTGATATATAATAGGAAAGTCTACGTTAGAAAATATCTTTTAATTACCTGAATTTAATAGGACGACAAAACTTTTCTGCGATTTCCTGCACCGACGCCGTAAAAAGAAAGAAGGAAAATAGATAAAAAGCGTTGATTGGCTGATAATTATTTCGGACGTCACGTGACCAATTAGAAGTTCGTGTATTTCACGCACACAAGCTCGCCGTCACACGTACGTAACTCGGCTTTCTTCATCACCAGAAAGAGCGCTGATTGGCTGATAATCATTTCGGACGTCAAGTGACAAATTAGAAGTTCATGTATACTTGTAAATTCTAATATACTGATTATCAGCCAATTAGCGCTTTTTGTGTATTTTTCTTCGTTCTTTTCACAGAATCGGTGTTTGAGATCACACGAAAGTTTTGTTGTTTCGTTAAATTCAGGTAATTAAAAGATATTTTCTAACGTATATCCCTTCTTCTTATATATCAAATGATAGCTACAAGCAAGATTTTTATATACGTGAGTGTTTTCAAAACGAAATATTAAAAAATACGGAAGATATCTGTGACAATATTATCATCGATGTATCTCGGTTTCGCGCCAAATTTCACTAATGTTACTTAATAATATTTTTTTCTAATTTTCAGCTTATTTTTACGGTATCGATAATTACTACAATTTCTATTAATGCGCTAATTAATCATTTTTCATAATTATGTCTTCAAAGATCGTATTTCGTTTCAAATTCCATTTTTACTACATACACACACCTACAGGCATATATACATAAGTATAGGTAGCTCGTACACATACACTCATGTATTTGATTTTTTTTATATTGTACTAAGTAATTTTATTTTTTACTTTTCTTAGAATTCTAAGCATTGGAGAGAGTCCAAAACGAATACTTATACTCAGTCATACAATTGTGTTTACTCTTTTTTATCTTCATATYCATCGAGGTAAGCGTTATTTTTTTTTTAAGAACGAGAGTGAGAGAGAGAGAGAATATGAAAACACAACATTCACCTACAGGCAATTATGAATGTGTATGTATATTTTCAAGAATTTCTCGAGCTGAAAACAGAGGAAAAACATCCGAAAAGAAACGAAAACAACCGAGCACCGAGCATTCGACATTTCTATGAGATATACACAGAGAGATCTTCATTACCCTTCTGTCTTTCAACGAGTAAAGATCAACGAACGTGTAACGTATTAAACTATTTATTAATTTTATTTCTAATGTTATCGTATTAATTTTCATACTTTAACAAGTTTTTCATTACATAGAATGGTATGAAAAACGGTTTATTTTTTAGGATACCCTTTATTGAGTTTGCTGATATAATTATACAAGTAGTGAGATTAAAGCAATTGATATTGTTTGAATTTGTATATTGAAATACAAAGTAAGCACTATCAAAAAAATAATTGGATACTTTGGTATACTGCACAAATATTTGTTAACTTTTACTTTTAATAATTGTAATTCTCATTGATTATTACATTTACTTTTTATATTTAACATTGATTCTTTATGATAGAATATCTTTTAATATGCCTTACCTTCAGAAATGATTTACGAGAAATATTATTCTATAGTCTTCAGTATGTTTTAACTTTGTCGATACTTGCTATTAAAATTTAATCAATTTTTTTGAGTGTTTAATTATAATAATTTAAAGAATATGTAGTATTGTAAAATATGTTTTAGTAGTTTTCTATAGTTAAATTTAGTTTAATTTAAATATTAGAAAGTACATCTAAAAAATTTCAAATACAAATTTTGCAATAATATTAAAAATAATAAAAATTTTGTAAGCCATCTTAAATTTTTAGAAAAAGAAGAATGAAATTCTCAAGTATGGAGCAAAGAATGTGGAAAGCCACTGTGTTAGAATGAACATCGCTAAAGTTACGAAAAAGAATATAAATTTACACTTACCGTTCTAAGTTTAAAGAGCTTTTTGGGATATAGGATTGCATTATCCAGGTAGGGAAAGTGCTATTGTTACATATGCATCTATAAATAATTTTTATAGCGAAATAAATTCTTCATTTATACTGTAATATTTATTTTACTTTTTAACAAGTGCCTGTTAGCGTGGGTGCTTCGAGTATAGTAATTTATTTCCATTTGTATGCATGTATGTATGTATCTATGTATACATGTACTTAATTACATGTGTGTAATTATTTTTACGAATCGTCTGTATGTATATACTTATGTGTTTTCTTTTTTCTGTTTTTTTTTTTTTTTTTTTTTTTTGTAGCGATAATACATACATTTATAATTGCGCTTATATTTTGCGCTTCGCACAAATTTATCCATACGTATTGCCTTCGATACATACACACAGATTGAATTTTCTAAATATATCTTCCTCTTTCGTCTCGTTATACGTAGTTTTTCTTTTTCTTGAAATTTCAACAAACAAAATCATTGATCGTGTCTCTTATAATCTATGCCCTGTATAGACCATTGTTAAATAGTTATTTTTAATTTAAGAAATTTGTTCATAGGAAAACCTCTTAAGTTATTCACATTTGACAATACATTCACTTTTACTTATTCACTTTAACTTACATACTATTTCTCTCTTTTTTTGTCAATCATTCTTTCTCGATGTGCAACGTTGAGTCACCTTAAATCTATTATTTCAATGATTAAGTACGATCATCGTATCGATTTGGGAAATTTCCGGGCCCAATTAGAGAATCTCCAGAAATACCTTTATCATTTTTTTTATTAATTTTTTTTATTTATTTCTACTCACTCTCTCCCTCTCTCTCTCTCTCTCTCTCTCTCTCTCTCTCTCTCTCTCTCTTTCTTTCACTATCTTTGATTTGATCACTCTGACACACATTCGTTAATTTTTTCAAGAGATATTTACATTGAATATACAGACATAATGCAACTTCTTGTTTCATTTTTTTTTGTTCCTTTTTTACTGTCATTAATTAGTATAATTTATTTATTGTTACGTAGTATTATTTATTTCTTGTATTTTTCATTAATATATTTATGTCTGCGATTTTTTATTATGTAAGTGCATGTATCTACGTGTGAATACGAACGCGCGTGTGTTTATGAATGTATACATAGATGATATTTATTTACAAGAAAACGGCAACTTATCAGGATAGAAAAATACAACGATTTTACTAATGATTATAATTATAAAACATCGTCTTACGTTTTTTAAAGAAAAACGTTAGATAATACTTAACACAAGACTAGGCTTACTTTTTCCTTCGTTTCATTTTCTCGGAAATATTCCTTGGCATTTTTATCTTATTTTTTTTTTTTCACTTGGACAATATCGTGACAGAATAAATGTTAAAATAATTACATTTTGTGGGGTATTATATTAATTGGTTTACAACTTGACTGACAGATCTAATTAATTTAATAAAAATAATTAGAAGAAACCTAGTTGTTTTTTACAGTAATAATAAACGAAAATTTACCACAATCCAATCTCGTTTTAATACTCATCGTTTTATGCATTTGCGTATGCACATACATATATGCGTTAAAGAGATTTATTTTTTGTTACATATGATACAAAAAATTTAAACGATCCTTCAGTACATCGAATTTAATTTACATGTCTTGTAAAAAACCCAATAAGATAGGATTCTAATTGGACGTTCCATAGGTTACCTTTTCTCTATTTTTATTTATGAACCAATTCAACATTTAATTGATTAACTTATAAAAAATTGTTTTCCTCCTCGTTTTTTGTATTTAATAATTCCGAGTTTTATTTGTATCTTCTCTACGTCGGATGTTTGTGATAGACGAACACAAACGGATTTCACTAGCACGACATAGAAATGCACTTCCGTCGGCTTCTGCTTCCTCTTTTTGGCGACACCGAAAGCAAAACCACTGAAACTTAACTAATTAATAAGCTATCGATGGCATCTCATGGCGTCTGATCACGTGCGAAATAAATTTTATGCTTGATGAGGGATGAATTAGAAGAAAGATTTAAAATAAATTAGACAAAAAAAAATATATGAAAAAAGTAAAAACGTTTGAAATCCTTAAAGAAAAAGATGGATAAAGTGAAAGAGAATAATTTAGGTCGAGTTCTTTAAGTCGATCATCTTCGTATTACCTTTTCAAAGGAATTCTTTCATTTTGATAATTTTTCGCTGAATTTACGGAATTATTATAAGCTTTAACGAATCCTTTTTAAATCAGCAACTTTTTACAATAAATTTTTTCACGCTCGTACTTTATCTGTTATATATATATATAATATAAGAAAAAAATATATTTTTCTTTTTTAATTATAGTTGTCTCACACATAATTTGAAATTAGTTATAAATTATGGAGACACAAATATATCACGGGTAATTTAAAATTCCTGTAATTATATGTTTGAAAGTGTAAACAAATACTGTAATTTAAGCTTCGTCAATTAAACAGATTTTCTAAATTTAGTATAAAAAACGCATCGTAAAAAATAAATTAAATGTGTTAATATGATTGCATCAATCAAAGTCCACAGGAATCCTAAAAAAGAAAAAGAAAAAAAAAACAAAAATATGTCTGTAAGTTGAATGTAAAATACGTCAAATTTACAAGACTCATAAATCAAGCGAAAACGACGTTCCTTTCTCGACGGAATTTTTTCTATAATCATCGAATCAGAATAAATTTGTAGATGTAATTATTACCATGACATAGATAGATCACTTTAACCTCCCACAATTTCGAACGGCACAAAAACGTTGGAATAATTTTATTTTATTTATTTATTAATCGTATGTGTGTGTCTAATAAGTGGCACCCGTTCGATTAGATTCTACGATATTTACAAATTTACACGATTAGACTTAAAAGCTAAAAGCTTAGTTGGGAAAATAACAGAATAAAAAGCTTTCATTCGATTGTTTAACATTATTGCAATAAGACGTGACACGCGCAAAATATTCTAAATTGGCCGAGACGTATACGTTTACACTTATACATACTTACTCTTATCATTTTTTATCCTAACTCTTTCCATCTTTTTCTGTTCTTATCGCTCTTATACAATAAGTGAATATTCACTTTCTTTAATATGTGTTGTATGTGTGTGTATGTGTGTGTGTGTGTGTAAGAAGGTTCTTTGAGAGTCGATAGAACGAATGGATAACACTGTGTAATTTCGTACTAACACACTGATATGTCTGAAAAATTCGATCGCGAGTTATGTTCGTGATTTTTCCTTACTTTAGGAAATTTTTGTAGTCTCCACACAAATCAAAGATGCGAAGATGATAATCCGAAATATTTGTCTTTCATCGATTTTGTATCTCTTTTAATGATTTAAATCATTCGAGTATGAACATTTCTTTGCGTAGATGCATGTTCGTGAAAAGTTAATATCAGAATTGGTTAGATATATGCATAAGATGGTGTACGAGTTCAAGAAGTACACCGAGTCAAAACTATCCCACGAATATCTATGTTTTAGTGAGCATGTTTATTTTTCCCCGACATTTGATAGATGGAATCATATTCGTAGAAACTGCGGTTTCTAAATTTGTTGTTGCTGGTTTGCTTGCATTCATTTTTCGACTAACGCTTTTATTATCAGAGCAAAAAATATTGCTAAGTTTTAGGATAACTAGGATAGTAATACTGTCACGGCGTTAATCGATATATCTACGAAAAATGTAGGTATACTTATAGTAACATTCGTACACAAGACAAATATTCCTAGTTAATGAACCCCGAGTCCCTTTTTCTTTCTGTTTACTTTTATCTTCTTATACATTTCTACAAGTTCAACGGAAAAAATTGGAGTAGATAGAGTCATAAAGAAAAACGATGTCGTCGATGGAAGAACGTTTTCTATCGAGCGACGCTGTTGTTATTATTACTATTATTATTATTATTATTATTATTATATCTCAATTGAACGATTACGTTCGAAAGAGTCCTTCGAATAGTCGTTTGAAATTTATACGGAGATACTTTGTACAATTGTAACGTTCCTTAATTTATATTTTAAGATCATTAGCTCGTTCACATCTATATTCGTCAGATGGTATTGGTAAAACAAACATAATCTAAGATCCTAAATAATTTTGCTACAATTTATGTTTTACCAATAGATATTCCTAAAAGAGAAACAAAACTTAAGCAAAATATTTTATCTAAAAGTCAAGGAAAAATATATTTGTTATTAATAGCCTTACTTTATAATATAAGTTATCCACGAATGATCTTTGGAAAACAAAACCCTAAAAAAGTTAACATATGATACTCGCAATTAGGAGTCATACTCATAATTAGTGCGAGACCATAAACTCTGACACATTGATGAACTTTAGTCTTTCCTAAAATCTAATATTTCATTTCCTTTTTCCGCTTCTTTCCAAGAAAATTTGATGTTCCCAATTTATTCGACTCAACTTTGCAATGTCAATATGTAATTTTTTTCGCAATTTCTTCCACGATTTAATTTCGAAATTTAAAGGCGCATAAGTTTACCGAAGGCCTTTCGGAATTCGGGGTTGAAGACGGTGTATATGACGGGATTGACGAAACTGTTCATGTAACCGAGCCACGAAGTGATAATGAAGGCCGTGACACCCGGTTGACAGGGTTGGGCTAACTTGTCGCACATGGCATCCATGATGTTGCACGTGAAGAAGGGTACCCAGCAAATCAGGAATGCGCCTGTAATAGTTAGGCGAAAGGTATGCTTCTAATATAACCAAGTTAAGATTTAGTAAACAGAGATAATGAAAATTGAACATGGGTAGATGCAAGATTTTGAAGAAAATGATCGATGTGTAGTAACTTGTAATCCAAGTTTCAAAATGTTTTAACTAGTCAAGTTTGAGTATGTCGATACTATATTATCGATAAGATAAGTAATATTAAACCCTTACAAGAATCACCTATATTGTTAAAACTTCTTACCCAAAACAATAGCTAGAGTTTTAGTAGCTTTGCGTTCCCTCTTGGCTGAACTTTTTTCCTTCTTTTTCTTACTCGCCTTGTTACTCTTATATATGTTGAACTTCGAACCAGAACTCGCGTTCTTCTTATCTTTTTTACAAACAGTTGAGCTGCCAGATAATACGCATGGTGGTTTACCAAGTTGTAAAGGTAGCAAGGATCCAACACTTTTGAGCCTTTTAAGTTCCTGTTTGTTTCCATTTCCATTCTTTTTCCGATCCATTTGCTGAACACTAGTAGCCGCTGCTGATCCAGGCCTTGCTGAAGGTGGTGGCGAAGATGATGTTGAGGATGATGGCGCTGATGTGATCCTTGGATTTGGACTTGGACTCGAATTCGTCTCGGTTCGTTCGTGTATCATCGTACTGCTAGCTGCACCGTTGTAACCCGAATTCCTTCGACCATTTGATTCACCCAATTGTGCTTGCGCCACGGCGCTGAAACGACAACTATCATTCGAGTATCAGAAACCTTGGGAATCATTTATTCTGGGTATCACGAATTTGATAAGGTCAAATATTTTTCGAATCATTTAAAAGGATTGCAAATAGTTTGAGATAATTAACTTAATTTTGAATGAGGTTAAGAAATTATATTTTAAATTTAGAAATTAGATCATAGCAACCACTTTTGATAGATAAGAAAACATTACTTAAGGTTTCTAATATTTTGAATCGTTTTGATTACCCTTTATACTTTTAGCAAAACGATAGTAACTTAAATATCTTTGATTATTCCATCGGTACATATACTGAAACGATTCCACCATCATTTGAATATTAGAAACCTTGGGATAGTTTTATAGCATGTTACGAGTTAGACAAGGTCAAATACTTTTCTGAATTGTTAAAAAAGATATTAAATGGTTTTGAGTACTAAATTTCATTAGTGATTAAGTTAAGAAATTAGGATAACGCTTCTATCGACGTTTCTCTATCTCTATTTCTCATTCTTTATTGTGATTACATTGAAACCCAATGACTACTATCTCTACAGAGAACTACTTCCGATTAAACGTCTAGCGTAAATCGAAACCTTTCATAGCAGACTCGAAAATGGGGCCGAGTAAGTGATACTTCGTACTTATACTCACGATCAAAAGTACAAAGAATCGAATTCTCCGACATTGTAGAAGGGAAAGTAGAGAAATCTTTGCGAACCGAATATCTCCTAGTTCTTTCTTTTTCTATCCATTGTATTCTTTCTGTCGGTTAACTTCTTTCCTTCCTTTCTTTCCATTCTAATACTTTAGGAGAAAGAAAAAGGATCGATAGTAGGTGCCCGAGTTTAAACTCAGACGAGATTCTCTTCTAACGGAAGTCGTTCGACCGAAAGTAGAGAAAAAGAGAGAATTAGAAGATGACTTAAGTAGAAAAAGTTTTTGATCATTTTCTCTCCCTTTCAACGGTTCTCTTATTACTAATAATTCTTTGTACGTGACAATGTGAAGCGTTAAAAAGAAAGAAAAGTTAAGAGAGAAAGATATATATATATATGTAAGTAAAAAAAAAAAAAATAAAGAAGAACAGAAAAAAAATGTAGTAAGAATTCGTTAATTAAATAATCTAATTGATGATGAGAAAAAGCATATATCGAGTTATACTAATTTCAATAAAACACGCTTGGATAACACTAAGAGTAAGTAGTACAAGTGTAATTATTTTAAGGGCTTTTGGTTTCGTCCCTTCCTATGCTTTAATACGAACGGTCCAGGTAATCCTTACTGCTTTCCGCCTTTCGACGAGATGACCCTACGAAAACTTGTTTATCAAACTTCGGTCTCAACTGCGATATAAGTCGCAACCAGGGATAGATATTCGGTTATAACTGAAAATTATATTAGCGAACTCGTTCGAGTTTATCGTGACTTCGATTATGACAAAACGATTTTTAGTTATTAGATAGTAATCAGATTTATTTTTCTATGGAGATCAACCGATACGTATAAAATTCGAAAAATATATTGTTCATTTGCATGACAAAGTATCTGACGATCTCTAATTTTGTTTTATCTCCGTATATATTTAAAATATAATTATATTTTTACATTTATATATTAAATAGATAAAATATATACATTTTTACATTAAATTAAAAAAATATATATATATTTCATACCAAGGTTTTAAGTTATACATAGCTAATAAGAGATAAAAAAAAACCCCTTTCAACATAAATTTATTTGGAAAAAAAAAAATAATTAAATTAAACAAAGAATTAGGATTAATTGAAGAAGAGGTGAAGAAGAAGAAGGGATTGCATAGATTAAATATAATTCGTGAAAATATTTGACCTTGAACGTGAAAAAGAAGAAGAAGAAGAAAAAAAATAGAAGAAGAAGAAGAAAAAAAATAGAAGAAGAAGAAGAAAAAAAAAACCAACATCTGTCGAAATAACGAAACGAGTTGTTTTGCCTTACGCTGCTTCTTCGACGACAGTGGCTAAGAAAAATTCAGTGCTCTTGTCATTGGAGATGACGACTACTGGATCGAGAGGCGTTTCATCTTCATCTTCGTTGCTCCCGGAAGCTGTGTTCGTTGGCTCCTCCATGCCGGGAGCCACCAAGGCGGCTGCCCCCAACGCCGTCTCGGCGAACCTTGCCACAGAAAACCCACTACGTGATCTTAGTCAAAAGCTTTCTAGAAAAGCTTCTACACTTATCATGCTTTCTTTTCTTTCCATCGTTTCAGCCAGCGTCGAGTCATCACCGCGAAAAAGAAAGATAGAGAGTCAAGAGAGAAAGAGAGATAAAACTAGCGAGATAGAAAAAGCGAATGAAAAAGAGAAAAAAAGAGAGATATATATAAAGAATGAGACAGAGAAAAATACACATACAGCATGAACTGGAAAAGGATATCTATCATGCGACCTATGAACAACGTTATATTTTCGTTTAAAAGGTTAAATGCGACCTTATTTCTCAGGAACGATATCACGTTTACGAGTATTCTGCCACATTGGAGATATGAAATGAAATAAACCTTCGGTGTTCAATTGATGCCTATACACAGTAAGAATTCTTTAAGGATAGATGGAATATTATTGGACTGATATAATAAAAATAGATTAGAGAAAGAGAGAAAGTAGATTTTATAATCCTGCTGCTCTCTCGTGTTTTATACAGATACAAAAAAAAGAAGAAAATTTATTTCTTTCGTTTCTGTTCTAGCTAAGATAAATTTTAAAGTATTTAGAATCAAGAGAAATTCTTAAAAAGAAGAAAAAAAAATTGGATAAAGAGATAGGTATAATCAAAGAAGAAAACAGAAAACGAGCTTTGTTCCTTCCTTCAAGATAACTTTAAAGAGAACCCCATTCTACAGATGCACAAAATCCTACCACAACTTTTCCATTTGGATTACCAACTAAGTTCGGACTATCTCGTTAAAGGTCAACTTTTGAATTTTCGTATGAGAAAATTTGATAACATTTGGATAATGGATGATAATAGTAATTATTTGATAAACAACTTCTGGTAATAACGAAAAATCGTTAACTTTTTAATACCGGAACGGGACCGTGCTTTTTCTTATTTATCATCTGCTTATTTTCAAATACTACGTAACTACGTAAGAAAAATAGAAAGAAAGAGAGATAGAGGTATACTGATAAAGATATAACGAAAGCAACGGTTAATGCGTGACAGAGGCAACCATAAGTAGGTTGGTTCCGTAGTCGAGAAGAAATTTATTTCCAAGAAAGGAAACGTAGATCGCTTGACTTTTGTAGATAACAGAGCGCGAAGGATGCAAGGAGAACTCGTGATCTCAGAAAATACGCTTTAACACTCAACATTGGCCAGGCAAAGACGATACTACTCATAAGTTTTGCTAAGTATCGTCGAGGTCATGCTTGGATACCGACCCAAATTTCGTTTCATATGGTTACGTAGTCGATAAGACTAGATCGTTCAACGCCAGAGAATTTTGCTAAGGATAACCTATGTAACATGTATGCAAGTATGCATATATATATACGTATTTACGTATGCATCTATACGCTCGTATAGGAGTGAGAGTGAGTGAGTGAGTGAGTGAGTGAATGAGACAAAGAGAGAGAGAGAGAGAGAGAGAGAGAGAGAGAGAGAGAAAGAGAGGGAGGGAGAAAGGATGTAACTGGGATTAACGCGGAACTGAGATTATGTTGGATACACAGAACCCAAAAGGAAAGACGAAGTTAGAGAGCCAAAATGTGGCTCGACGATGTAAACACCTAAGTCCAATTTATCGATAACACCTCCCCTCTTCTTCTTCCACTTCCTCTTCCTCCACCACACCTACTCCACTTCCACCTTCTCTTCTTCCATCCCCGAACAAACGAGAGTTATGGAACGAAACCATAAATACTAACAAACGGGTCCTACCGCGAGAGCATGTGTAATTAATTCCATACGCGTTCTACGATAACGCTTTGATGTTAGATCCTCTGTGTTAAATGGGTATACATAACGGTATCAACCTACTCTCTCACTCTCTCTCTATGTGTTATCGAACCTACACTTACAAGGTTAAAGTATGAACTATGGGTTATATCTATCTTACTTTGTGAATGTGCATATGGTAATTTTCTCAGTTTTTAGTAACAGGATTTACCCTATCTAGAATTTTTAACGACGATCGAGAAGAGTATTTCGTTTCGAACGAAACGAAATGTAAATTGATATCTTATAATTTCATTCGTATAAGTTTGTTTTATTTATCGACGTATACGTTTTGTGAGAATTTGTTTTAGCCTAGAAACAAGGCAAATATTTTGAAGACCTTGTGAGAAAATAATAGTTCGAAAGTTTTGAATGAATTTTTGTGATATTCAAAAAACAACCGAAGACAATTTTTTCGAAAAGGGAGCAATATTATTTATTTTTATTACATATTTGAAGCAATTTCTCCTTCTTGAGCTAACTTTATGAATCGAAACGTACTCGCTGTTGTAAAGTGTCAAGTGAAATGAAAAAACACGCGATAGGGACCCTTACGAATCCAAATCCTTAATCCTCTATAAAAAATCACCTCGAATTTGGGCGAGATATTCCTATGGGTTTCTTTTTTTTCCTTCTTTTTGGCGCTTTTTTTAACGATTTGGGAAAGAGTAACAGCTAAAGCATCTCGAGCGTATCATTCCAATAAATCCTTGTGTCTTTTCTAATCGTATTTTCGTATATGCTCGCGTGCAGAAGCGTTCGTGCGAAAGGTCGCTATAAGCTTTAAACACATATTATAAATTTGTTTCCATTTATATGATTAATATTTGTAAATATTTTTAATCAGTATTTTCAAATGTTTTAATGGTATGTTGATAAATATTGTAAATTGAATTAATAGTTGTTCGAGGATTCAAGGAATAGGAAATTAGAAGGTTTAAAAGAGATGCGCTAAGAGAAGACAAGGAGATAGGCGAGATAGGCTAGTGGACTGTATTATGTTAATTTCTGGTAGAGTTTGTGTGTAACAAGATTTATTAGAAGATTTTAACAGAAAGAATAGAGATGTCGAAAGTATAATGAATTT